ATATATATAATAATAATATAAAAATTATAGTTTTAACTAAATTTCGAAGAACGTAAAAAAAAAAATAGAAGAAAAACCTAAGTCTAATGTTCTGCGAAGAACGAAAAATATTAAGGTATCTAAGATAGAACAATAATAATCGAAAAATATTCTGAAGTTAAGTGAATATAAAAAATAAAATAAAAAACAAAAATAAAAATATAAAAACGGGATAACAACTATACAAGTTATAAGATTTTAGTATGACCGTAGGTCGTATGGACACGTTTCAATGTACCTATATATGTAAACAATTTTTTTTATTGGTAACTAGAATTGGGAACCAATACACATACTGTAGTTTCCAATCTAGCGAGTTATTATTGGGATGCATTACAATTTAATCAATAAAACTATCTATAAACACAAACAATATAATTTAGTCATAGAACGTATAAATATTATATATAGTAATAATTACAGTGAACATGTCCACTAAACATAATCGAATCTAATCCGGAAGAACAGTATAATATTATATTATAACGTCTTCGGTCTGATACAATATAATTACATTTCAATATTAAACATATATTATTATAAATTACCAACACTCGTTTGTGACTATCTACTTCACAATAATTATTATTGTAATGGCTTATAATAAAATGCGCAGGTTATGGCTAATTATGCACTATTTAAAAAAATAATTATTTTATTTTATTTTCATTTCCTTATCGCCTTTGTACACAAAATCTTAGGATCACACATCAAATTTATTATCAACCACTTTTCATTTGAACGATGAAATTTATAAATGAAAAACAATTGTAGGTACTAATGAAATTTGAATACAATTTATTATGAAACTCATAGGAACCGCATATTTATCAGGTGAAAAATTATTATTAGTATTATATTAAACTTGGGCTACTCGCTTAAGTAAACGAAGAAATAAGAATCATATATCTATGTTTATATCAAATCCTAAATGTATTATTTAGGTACAGTTTTAGATGCATATTATGTACTATATGCATAAAGACCAATCTTTTGATACTCAAAATAATATAATATACATTTTTTTCCGTTTTTATTTAGCTTTGCGGTTTCTATGAAATTTTTCTAAGCTAATGGTTCAGACGTACCCGGTCTGTAGTCAGGGCTGTCAGTGAAGCGAAACTATAAAAACCATCCCACGTGATCTATTAAGCGGTCAGGCGGGTAGGCGAAGGGAAAAATATAGTTTATATATTTTTTAAAGCGTCTAAAGAATATTGATCGGAACTTTGGCAAGAGCTTATAATGCCTTGGAGAACGTAAGCCGATTAATGTCGGACAATATGATGAAAAAATCCCATCAAACTGTTTGGTCCGTTAGGCGAGATTTTTTTTTTTAATAAAAATCACGTTATATATCTTGTGTATATATAAAATAAAAAATACAAAAATCGAATATGTAGTAGGTGCTTGGTTGGTATGTCGACTAAAATTGGCATGAGGGTCTTATACAAAGGCGCAAAATCTACGCATTTTAGTCACATCCATATTTTAGAAAAATCATTCTTCAACCAACATATATATTTTCACTAAACGAGCTGTATAATAATAAATAATGATATATACCTAGAAAAAAAAATAATACAAATAAATACTCGAACGGGAGACTTAGTTGTTTAAAGATATACAAAATAATACTGTAGGAACGATTTTTTTTTAAATAAATAATCAAACAATAACGAAGTATAATATTTATAATACATGCTGAATGGTTTGAGAAAGTAGAACGTTAAACTACTTACATCTCACTATATAAATAATATATAATACAATGTTGTAGCTACCAATTGTAAAACACACTTTTTTTATTTTAAATAATCCGAATACAAAATCGTCGAGTTTTTGACGTATTTTGTTTTTCTGAGTTTCGTCAACATTAGTTTCGATAAGAAGAGAACAAATCGATAAGTAAAAATAATGACGATTTATACAGTATAATATGATACGCATGTCTGAGATCTCTTATCGCAAAGAAATTTATAATCGAATAGATAGCGAAAATGTTGTGACATGGAAGACTTTACAGTAAAGTTTTAAAACGTCAATATGTATATGTATTATATACAACAAATCTCAAAATATATTTCCAATATAATATTCGAGTGTTGCGCGATATGGTTATAATATGATATTATGTAACATTGTTGCGTGAATCGGAAATGGTAATTTTCAAAATATTTGATATGTAACAGTTTCCAGTATTTTAATATAAGTAGAAATATATTAGGTACTATTTAATAACTAGATACAAGGAAAGTAATTGAGTGATATGATAGAAATTTCAGAAATATGAATTGAAAGTTTACTTTTTCGAGTGTATATGATATGATATTATATTATATATTTATATTAGTGATGGAAATTCAAAAATTAACATAAAAATGAGTTGCAGCTAAACGGGATATCAAACCACTAGCTACTGACTAAGTGATTACAAAATTATAGTAAATTAATTTACAATAACTGTTATTATTATTTTTTTTATACATAAAACATCACAAATAAGTAATAATAATATAATATATATAAATGATCTATACTACAGATATAATATATATAATGTAATATAATATAATAAATTTGTATAGGTACAATATAATATTCTAATGTTGTATCGATATAATTTTTCTGTCTATTCTAAGCTCATAAGTGTTCCGTCATCATGATTACATGTTAAAATGTAATCGTTTTTCGAAAACAATTTTTTACGACGACAATATTATTACATAAATACCTACGCTACAGGAATTAGGTTAATATTGACAATAGCAAAAAAAAAAAAAAACAATTACTTATAAACAAATACCAAGAGCAGGCCACATCAGATATAGTTAACTTACGGTTCTAGCACATCCACTTTGGTACCGGTAAAACATAGGCCGCAAGAAAAAATGTTTGTATTTTTTTGCTACACGAGTCCCAAAGCTCTCCCGGACTAACACATTTGGTACACGCGCAAACATAATTATAATAATACCATCGCACACAATATTCTTCTGTTTTTTTTTTTTGTTTTTTTTTTTTTTTTTTTATATATACATTTATATAATACTCGGTTTGTTTGAGAAGAACAAAAACTAGTTTTTCTTGTGTAATATATACATTTTTATTTGAGGTTGTCATCGGCTAATAGTGGTTTGGAGTAACAGCGTTAAAACGGTGGGGGGATAGATTTTTGCAGAGGTCAAAGGGTTATGCGATTACAATTTGGCAGCGCAAGGGACACATTTATTTAAAACGTTATCGGTATGGTAGAGGTCTGGTACAGGGCGGGAATCTCGGCGGCACCGGGCACGCCTTGGACAGCGAACGCGAGTCCTTCAGGGAAATTAAATGCGACCGTCTGCGGGGGTGGCTGTTGCGGCTGCGGGTTGCAGACGGGCAACCGAACGCCGGCAGCCGCAGCGGCCAGCAGACGTTTACATGCGGCCGCCTGCTGCATCGCTCCAATCATGGGTAGCTGTACGAGCGACGCGGCCGCCGGCTGATGGTGCTGGAGGTGGTGGTGAAGGTGTTGCTGTTGTTGAAGGTGGTGCTGTTGTTGCTGCTGCTGCTGCTGCTGTTGCTGTTGGTGGTGGTGGTTATGGTGGATAAGGAGGTGCTGCTGCTGCTGCTGTTGCTGCTGTTGGCTGGCGGCCACCGCGGCGGCGGCTACCGATTGTTGCGGCAGCGGGTACGGTGCGAAACGGTAACCGATGGCCGCGGCTGCGGAACCTGGCGTGGCCGCGATCATCGAGCCACCGCCGCCTCCGACACCTGCGCCTCCCCCGCCAAAGCCGAAGCCAACGCCACCACCACCACCAGCCCCCAACACAGCGCTTGCCACGCCACCGACGACACCGTGGTGTTGGTGGTGATGCGCGCCGGACGGCGAACCACCCACCATACGGTGATGATGATGGTGGTGATGGCACACGCGCGACCCACCGCCGGCGGCACATAAGCCCACGCCTGATTTTTTCATAACAATAAACTCACCGTAAGTCCCACGGCCAGCAGCTCGCGTTTTCGCCAGGTTGGCCGGCAGCATCACTTCCTTCGGTTGCGCTTTTTTACACTCCACCTGTGGAAGTACAAAAAAAAAAAAACGTGTGTCAATAGTTTGGAAAAACAAAAGATAAAAATTGAACTAAAATAGAATAATATCCTCGTTTTCTCTGACTTGTCCCCGAAATCACTTCCCTTCTCCCGGGGATTGGATATGAAACACGCATATTATTAATTCACTCAACCTAATAGATATTATGCGATTTATTCAAATAATATTTAATTCGATACAATCATTATTCAACTATTATGAAGTATTTTGGAAATAAACGCAATTTTTAACGCGAAATCCTAATACGTATAACCAAAAATGTCTAATAATATATGCCAATTAAATTTAGAGTATTTTGAATGCATGTCAAATTGATGTTTAATAAAAGTGAAATGGGTGGTTTCGAAATAAATAATTTTGATGTTTCTAAACAGAATCGAAAGGATCGTTCACTGTAACTGATGACTAAGGGACTAAATGATGTATATAAGAAAAATGGATATAACATTAAGCCTTTAACTGTTTGTCAACATAATTGAAAAGAATCCTAGTAGCAATATGAATCACGCGATAATAATTAATAACGTATAACGTTTGAAACCTTTTGTTCAAAATATACGGGAAAAATATAGTTTGTTTTGATTTACGAATAAAATAAATATATTGTTTTAATAGTATACCAATTAACAATTTTATTATTAATACACCGTATATTTTAATTAGAATCGCTCATTTTCACGAATATTGTCTAATAGTCTAATATGTCAATTGTTATTTTATGATATTAAATACATATATACGTATAAATAAATAATTATTATGGTAGAACTGCACATTTGTAATTAAATGGTATTAATTCTTATAGAATGACTATAAACAATATAATGAATAGTCTTTTTATTTTTCACATACCTATCCGAAAAGATATAATATAATTATATACATGAAGCGTGCTGTATTTATTGCTAATCGATTATTATTAACGTATTTTACGATCGAAGAAATACATTTAAGAGCAGACTACGCGATTACATGTAGTAAATTTTCAAACACTGTTAAAGTTCAAATACTTAAGTAAAATTCATAAAATGAAAAAACAATTTTAACACATAGTACAGATCGCTTTGGAGCGATATCCTATGTACTTATTATTTTTGTCAGCATTGATACAATTATTTGTTATTATTCGTTCTCCGCCGTAACAGTCATTGCCTTGCACGATTTTACTTCCACCCAAAAAAAACAAAAGATTTCCAGTAGAAATACGTCTTGGAAAATGAAAAAACAAATTTTACGATATAATAATGTTGAATTGCTTCAATGTGTAATACATCTATCATCAACTAATATATTAATCATAATGCTCGTGAAAGTCTCGCGTTTTATTTGTTTTTCTAGACAACTTTGAAATATTTATATATATATATATTATAAATCGATAATATTATTAACTTATGTAATTACATTACATAATTAATAATATGGTGTATTGCATATACGACAGAATAAACACTTCAAGCTCCCCAGAATCTCAGATTCGAGAACAATGATTGTAATTGATACTTGTATTTAATTCGGATAGACAAATATAAAATATATTTTGCTTAGGTAAGAACCGTACAGAAAAAGAACCTCAGTTATTGTGAAAGAGAAATTTAACTTAAATTGTATTTATGTAAATATAATATATAATAATATAACATATAGGAGATCATTATATTAACTCGGTGACAACATTTACGACGATGTCTGTGTTCAAATCGTAAAAGCAAATATCTCATTAAGTTCATTGCAGATTATTTTTCCTCAATATGCAGTGTATAATAGCCATATTTGATAACATCACCATCACCTTCTCCTTCACAACTTCCATCACTAACACCAATAAACTAATATGTGACCACTAAATAATTATTAATATATAATATGTATTGATATATTATCCACTGTTTTAACGATATTATTATTTTGGGTTATTCGGTTTGAAAGAAAACATACAATTTCCCAAGTTTTTTGTGTTTTCAAAGAATAAAAATGGTTTCATATCGTTTAAAATATTAATGATACTACATTTTAACGAAAAAAACATCTTAGCTCTTTACTATTTTATTTTATTTTTTTGTTTAAAATTATATTATATTGTTGTTAATTAAATAAAGTAATAAAAAAGTGAACTAATTAAATTATATATTATAAAAATAGTTTTTTACTTTATAAACATATATCGACGTGGAAAATTCTACGCGATCAGTAAAATTAAATATGAATCAACTCGTATGATAATATGTATCTTCTATTTATCAATATTTACTTTCATTACACTACAACGACAAAAATGCATGTATTTAATAGTTTTTTTTGGACTATAATATATTATAATTGTGTCTATAATAGTAATAATATTGCATATTATATACTATAGAACCACTATCCACCAATCGAGCGTGCACGGATACAATATAATACTATCGTTCATGAAAATAATAATGTATTATATTGTGTTTCTCAATTTAGTCGATTATTAACCTTGGTAAATTCTATAAATGTATTATGTACAGCACAATGGGCCGTACCTATACATCGTGTCTGATACCCTGGCAACACATACACATACATATTCTATAATATACATTATACATACGACTACTTTCACCATATTAAAGCAGTGCAGAATAAAACACGCGCGAACGTCACCTTATATTACTTGTGCAGAGGGCCGGTTTAGAATCGTGGACACGCAATGAACATAGTGTGTCGAAGTGGAAGGAAAGGGTAAATCATCATTTCAAAAGAAAGTTAACCAAAGCACTGAAACGGTAAAATGAAAACGAAAAAAATAAAATAGAATGAATACCTTTAGCCAGAATGAGGTCTTAAAAGTAAATATTTTATTGCGGGTAGTTTTTAATAACAGTCCTACCGCGATTCGAGCAAACCATAATATGTATACCATACTGTATATAATACGTATAATATGAATCTACCATCTATCATACGTGAACGCGACATAAGCCCATTATTCACGAGATCTCTTCTCTCTTTCTCTCTCTCTCTCTCTCTCTATCTTTCTCTTGCTGTATTATGTATACGGTACCTACATATTTGCGCGTTAAGATAAATAATGAATTTTCGATGGGCTTCGGTGTTTCAAAACGCTTTTATTTGCATAAACATTACTGTATTACGGTTTTACTTCATACAATGCGCTTACAAGCCAGATCGTACTATACGCATGCATACATAGTTATAGTCAGTACTCAATCCAATACCAATTCCATTTTCTTAAAAGCCTGTGTAAAGCGGTGCAACACGATTCCGCTCCAATATATATATATATATATATGTGTGTGTGTGTGTGTGTGTGTGTGTTTGTCTTATATATTATATATATTTTTATTATATACCAGTGTTTCCGAATTGAGTGCAAACATAATTATTTAGGATGAATAAAATTTATTAATTTTTAGTGCATATTTTTGTTAATAGCTTATATTTGTATGCATTCTCATTTAAATAGAAAAATTGTTAAATGTTGTCAAAATAAACATAAGTTTCAAAATTTTTCAGCGTGTAATAAAGTAGACTAAAAAAAATTGTGAATATATAAATAACTTCATGTAGCAATACATTAAAATAATATAAAAATATAATTAAAAAAAAAAACTAATAAATATACAAAATATGATTTAAAAATATATGCATATAAAATACTGTAAAAATTATAAAATTTATAAAAGCTAACAAATAAATTCACGATAAAATATTATTTCGATTACTCAAATGTATGTTCTAATTAAAATACCTGGTTAAAAATATTGGGAAACCAAGTCCAATTTTTAAATAATGTATTGGAAAATTGTTAGAATATATGTATATGTTATATATATAATATATATATTAGGGACACACATATATATATATATTGGAGCGCAATCGTATTGCGTTTTGTGCAGGTATAAAGATAAAACGGGTTCAATCGTACTAGTTGGTTGGGGGCAATCGTGTTACAGCCGTAAAAAGGAAAATAAAGTGAACGGTTTTGTATAATTTTATAAATTAATATAGTAGCTACATGAGTACTAATCATGATTTCTGAAATATTATTCCGACACGGATAACGACTGAAAATAATTGTCCTGTATCCTCGATTCTGAATGTTATCCCATTCACCAAATACAAACACACAGGCGTGTGCGCGATCTGTTATGTTCGGTCCTTTTATGTGTATGAATTATACTTGTACAGCTATGTATAATACAACTACCGTATATTCTGTATTTTATATATAAATAAGACCATCACAAGGCAAGTAAATAAGAAAAATAAATAACCGAGTGCGATAAAGGCACTTATCGTATCCATTGAAAATCGGTCTAGTCTATTACAGTTATTATTATTATTATTATTATTATTATTGTTGTTGTACGTTGTAGTCGAACAAATGAGCGACTAAGTATGGTCCATTATTTGAACGACTTAAGAGTCATATGATTGGAGTACAATATTTATAGGAATATTTATTGATCACTTGCTCTGATTGTTTTCACATCTGAAATGGACAGCCGATTTTTTTATAATACTTTACAGTTTACATAAGTATAATATGTACTTTGTCATTATTCAGTTTCTGAGAAAAAATTGTATTACGGTTATAATTGACCTGATAAAAAATCCAAGTGCAATTGGCTACAAGTATGCTATAAAGCAGTGTAAATTATATTGATTTTTGCCAGCTTCTATGCCATTCGAAACTTAATATATTTTCAGTATACATTTTTTTTTTCAAAAACACAAAATCAACATAGAAAATAATAGTTTTTCCGTTTAAATTAATTTCCCAGTATATAAAATTTTGTATGTAAAGACACTATATAATTATCCTAACCATGTAAACAGCCATTCGCCCTTCAAAATGTGTTTTGTAACTTTCGTATACATTATTAATATATGCTCGGCAAGAGTTCCTGAAACGATGTGGATGACTTACTACAGCAGTTCAATTATTCTTGTAATATATTGATATGTATTATATATTGCGGTTCACAAATTTCCCACAATTCCACGATTGTACAATAATATATGAGCATTTT